TCCTCATATTCAACTGAAACCTCTTCTGTTTCAGTTTGTGCCTATTGCCCCTTGTCCTGTCGCTGGGCACCACTGCAGAGTCTGGCTCCATCCTTGTGACACCCACCCTTGAGATATTTGTTCTAGCTCATTTAAAGCCCACTGCTGGGTTGGGGGAAGAAGGCTTGTTTACCCTTCCTAGATGTTTATTTTGTATTTAGTTAGGCTGAATTTCCTTGAAGAGAGGAAAATTATTAACTAGATCAGGTGACAAAAGGCCAGCAGGCTGGAAAGCCAGCTCATAAAGGCAGGTCATGAGTTTCAGGAGCAGGACAGCGGGACCTCTCCCCAGCTCCTTCGCTCCTTCCCAGGCTGGCTGCTGGAGAAGAGCAGCAGTTTGCTCCGGCACTCACCAGAACTCTCCGTCCTCCATCCTCAGCTGCAGCTCTTCCCTGTCACCGGGGTCGATGTTGTCCCACTCGGAGGAGCTGGAGTAGCAGGAGAGAGACGATTAGATGAGGACTACTCAAGGTGAATTGAGAGGGCTTCAGAGCTGGCCCTCCACTGTCCCCCCAGCCAATGTGAAGGGCACTGCATGCTGTGAACTTCCCCTCAGCAGTGCCATGCACTTGCCAGCAGTGGGGCTGAAGTCCCATCTGTCCAACTCACCCATCGCTCCAGGCTCCGGTCCACTCCACCTGTCCCCAGGGGTTCCTGATGCGGATGAGCTGTTCCTGCCCACCCCGGTAGTTCACCTGCCGGCCACCAGAGACAGGAGGTTAAGCCCATGCCACTGGCCAGGCTATTTTATTGCTATTAATGTCTCACATAGCCAACTCACATCTCTGAAGGCCGTGACAGAATAGGCATGGCCCTTCACCAGCTTCTTGAAGGTCACCGCTTCCATATCAAAGGCACTTGTGATCTGAGGAGAATGTGCAAAGCTCAAGTGAATACGATTAAATTCATGTGGTTCTATCCCTACCCCTTCCCCCCATCACGTGGAGAATTCCCCTTGCCTTGCAGTGCTCCAGCCAAGAGGAGCAGGCTCAAAGGCTGCTGGCTGAGGATGATGTAAAGACAGTTTTCCAGCCAAGACCCTGATGATCCATCAGGGAACCACCCAAACTTCAGAGAGGAAGAAAAGGATTTTGTGAGAGGAAACGTATGGAAAACCCCGCTCCAGATAATTCTCAGATGCTGCCGTAAGATGTGGCCAGAGCTACAGGCAGACCCTTGTTCAACAGCCCACGCTTCACATGGACAATTCCCACTCCATCCAAAGGAGCCCATCCCCAGCAGCTGGGCTGCAGCCCCGCTCGCTCTGCCCCAGGGTTGCCACGCTGGCTCTGGAAAGGGTGCTCTGCCAAGAGGGGGTAGAAGTAACCTCCCACCCGGTGTCCCAGGGAGGGGACTGCTGACACCATCTCGGGCTGCAAGGCCTCGCCGTGGCCACCGCTGGGGCAGAGCCCCTGTCTGATCCCAGCACACCGCTTACGTCGATGGAGCAGCCCAGCAGGGACCCCCTCTCCAGTGCCTTGCGGATGATGTGGCCCATGTTGCGCGGCGGCCGCTTGAGGTCGTACATCTCTGCCACGCCGCCGGTGAAGTCCTCGAAGCCCTCGGTGGTGCTGCCCCCTGAGAGCGCCTCGTACCAGCCGTTCAGCCTGAGCACCGGCCGGCAAGAGAGGCATGTGAGGTGACAAGGACGTACCCAGCAGGGCCAGGGATAGAAGACACCCCCACCCGCCCATGTGCCCGCCACGGGGGTACCCACTTGGCATAGGCCTTCTCCAGCAGAGCACTCCAGAACTCGGTGCACTCTGCCGAGTGCACAAAGAGAAGCTCCCCGTCCTTGGTGGGCAGCTGGTCATCCACCACCACGTCCACCCACTCACCGAACTGCCAGATCTGGGGGGGTCAGGAGAGAGTGCGGTGAGCTTGGAGCATCACACACCTTTGCTCATCCCTATCCCAGAGGGGTGCCCTCAACCCAACGCCCTCCCT